AACAGCATCCTGCATCCCTCCTAAGGCACATGGACATGTGAGACTCCCAACAGCATCCTGCATCCCTCCTAAGGCACATGGACACCTTACTTGTGTCTCCTGCAGCGTGGATCTCTGTTCTCTCTGAGTTCCAGATGTGGAAGACATTTTTGAAAACTGGTACCCCTACAACAAAACAAAACAAAAAATCCCCCAAACTAGAGACTTGGGGCGCCCTCTGCTGTCTCTTCCAAGTTCTGCTGTGGGTTAGAAAAGAACACACGAATAAGTCAGCCAGATACACACAGACACACACATACACACGCACATACGTGCAGGCAGTAGAGACATGTAATGAAAAACATGTTTCCCAACTGCCTGCTTTTAGATGCCACTGTCTTCCACTCACTGGTATCAAATCTATGAGCTTCAGCATCTCCTGTGTAGAGGGGCAGCCACCTCAGCGGCTTCTCCTGAGGATTCAATGAGACACGTATCCAAGCTGCTCTGCTGGAACCTGGCAAACAGTAACCCTTGCTATATGGTGGTCACTTCTTTAATTAACTCTGGTATAAGTGGGCCTGCTTCTGTTGAATTTCCCGTCACCCAAGTACCTATAGAGCAGTGATTCTCAACCTTCCTTATGCCTCGGCCCTTAGATACAGTTCCTCATGTTGTGGTGACCCCCTCTAGCCATAAAATTATTTCTGTTGCTACTTTGTAACTGGAATTTTGCTGCTGTTATGAATCACGGTGTAAATATCTGATATACAAGATATCTAATATGCAACCGCTGTGAAAGGGTTATTCAACCCCAAAGGGGTCATGACCCCACAGGTTGAGAACCACTGCTATAGCTCAGAAACATTCCTGCCTTTTTTTTTTAAACTTTTAATTAATACATTTTAAGGAAGTGCCCACCTGTAACATTGCACATTAGTTACCCTGGTAACTAAGACATCAGAACAGGTCTGATAGCTGTTTATCATTAGCAGAGCACCAGCTGCCTTTCTCTCAGGGAAGCAGGGATTAGGAAGGGTTGTTATTTGTTGTTCACAAAGCTGTTTGTGTTTGTTCCTTCTTTTTTTTGTTAATGAATGATTGTGACCTAACAGTCATCGCCACATTTATTTAAGACATTACAGCCCTTGAAATGCTTAGCAAGAAAAGACACAAGGTTAAGTTGAGGGTCAGGAAGCAAGGTCTAGCCTCAAGGCTCTGTAGGTAGGAACTGTAAAGCTCTGTTGTTTGTTTATAAAACACCACACACACAGATGCCAGTAAGCCATCATTTTTTCTTGGCTTTTTGTTTGTTTGTTTGTTTGTTTTAAGACATAGTTTCTCTGTGTATCAGCCCTGGTTGCCTGGAACTCATTTTATAGACCAGGATAGCCTTGAACTCATAATGATCTGCCTGCCTCTGCTTCCCAAGTGCCTGGCTCCATTATCTTCTATGAAGACAGAAACTTTTGATTTTTTTTTTTTTTTGGAGACAAGTTTTCTCTGTGTAGATTTGGTGCCTGTCCTAGATCTTGCTGTGTAGACCAGGCTGGCCTCGAACTCACAGAGATATGCCTGGCTCTGCCTCCCGAGTGCTGGGATTAAAGGCGTGCGCCACCATTGCCCAGCGGGTTTTGTTTTTAAATGAGGCTGTCTAAGGCTTCATAGAACACAGGCGAAATCCTTTCGACATCTGTGAGATGGGCTCCAGAGCAGGACACATAAATCCTCAACTGGGTGGGAGCACTCTGCCACCTGCTAAGGTGGTGACAAGAGATGATGTGGCACAGCACTTCGGCGCCAGGCTCAGTCTGCCTGCTTTACACTCTCGGTGAGGTCACACTCAACTTTAAGTCAGCATGCTGGCTATTAGCCCCACTTCCCAAATGAGCAAACTGGAAAGATCTTAGAGGGACTGTTTAGCCTCAGAAGAGACATAAGATGGCAGGCACTGTGGGAAGGATACCAGACCAGTCGTCTAGTGTCCCACCCTAATTAGTTCTGCCAGTTTGGACAAGTCATTTCCTCAACCTGAAAGAGGAGGGAGTCAGGAGGTGTGGGAGACTCCTCTCCCTCTAAAATTTCTGATTCTGAAGACCATTCTTGCCTGAGAAGAGCAATGAAGGGAACAGACTTTATTCTGGAAACTGCCTCAGGGGCAAGCTGAAGCAACCTTGGTCTCTGCTGCGGTTCAACACCTGGCTGGACCCTTCAGAAACACGAACGAGTGAGATGGCTCCTGGCTTCCTTTTGTAAATGATCCCATACGCACAATTCATCCAACGCTGCATTTCAGACTGTGCCAGAAACAGCCTGCTGTCGAGATAATAATGGTAATAATCAAAGCAACAGAAACGATGTACACGGAGAAAGTGCAGCGCGCGCGCGCGCGCGCGCGCGCGCACACACACACACACACACACACACACACACACACACACACGGTGACAGGCAGGGCCGAGTATTTATGATGTTCAAAGGGAAACTGAGCATCCCACGGTTTTTACCAGCACTATCTATGGCTTGCCAATGATGAAGACAATAATCATTTAAATCTGGCATACTTACCAATTCTGAAAGCTAAACTCTAGTTTTGTTTACATGCTGAAAAGAGACAAACACAATCTCAAGTCTGTGCAGGTACCTTTTATTTCTTGTTTTGGAGAAAGATTAACTCTACTGAACCTTGAATGAAAATGTCAAATCATCCAAGCACGCACAGGCAATGTTATTTTGTAGACGGAAAAATGATGGCAGAGATGAGAGAAGGCCTTGGCCATTCCCAACATGGTAGAAGAGGGTTTCAGCTTTCTCGAATTCAGTGAGGACATCACTCGCAAGGCATCTCTCCTGTGAAAGGTCGGGCAAGGTTGAGGAGGCCATGGGAAATTCCTTCTGCAGTACTTCCTGAGTTCCACTCTGGCGCTAGACTGTGTTAGCGGCTGTGGTCCTTACTCTGGAGTGGCGGACACAGGTGCCTTTCTGTGGCAACCACGCTTTCCTTGCCTGAGCTAGCTCTTCACGTCTCTCTGATCAGCAAGCCACCACTCAGGGGACTCGGGACTTAGGGAGACCGGGCACAGGCATAGTGCCACTCAAGTGAAATGCCTGGCATCTTGGAGAAGCCAATATTTCACCTGAAGCAGGTGCCTCCAAGCAGCTCCTGCAGACCCAGGAGGTTGAAAACACAGTTACTCAGTCAGCAGGGTCTGGCTGAGCGGTTGTAAGGTCCGTCTGCTGACCGTCCTCATCTTCTTCCTTAATAGCACTGTGTTGGATTTCTTGTCCAGGGGGACATGGCAGAGCATAGCGTCCAATGTGTAAACGGAGACTTGGCCATTAATGTGCAGCTTTGCATAGACCTCCTCAAACTTGGCTGTGAGGATGGGGTTGTCCTTTAGTTTTTCCCTCACTTTGGCCAGCTGGAAAAAAGAGTAATCATTACTCACAATGATGTTTTCCTATTCTCTAAGAAGCAAAACAGACATTCAGAAATGGACAGCGTACTCATAAAGAGATACACCAGGGCACACAGGCACAACTGACCGACTGTAAGAGCCTCTGTGAGTCACACACAAAGTTCAAAACTAAAGCTGTATCATTTTTACCTTATAAAAGGAACTCAAATAGCACATGCCTTACAGTGAAATGTAACTGGGAGAGGTCAAACGCCAGCAGAAATCAACAAGGTAAGGGTGAGACAGGGGTGGGCCAGATCATGTAGACTTCACATACAGTCCCCGGAAAGATGCTTGGAACTGATCCTGAAAGCCAGGGGATGACAGGGGCTATGGTGTGATCGAGACTTAACAGGCCGCACAGAGGAGAAATGGGGGGGGGGGCAGGAATGTGGAGACAATTCCAGAACCCCCATCATAGCCTAGAGGAGAAAAAAAAGGTTGATTTAGACTGGGAAACACACAGGAAAGATGAAGAGGTGGATGCATGTGAGGTACACTGCGGTTACGGTGAGGCGCTCTGGCTAGGAGCTGAAGGGAACAAGGTCAATGTCATCTTCCTAACTTGGGTCTTAGGAACATGATGGTGGACACTGTCACTGACTGAGATGGGGAGGACAGGGAGATCTGGAATTCTGTTCTGGAGGTGAAACATCAAGGTAGACATGCCAAGGAGACCACTGGCTAGACAGGCCTGAGATACAGAGCAGAAGACCAGATGTGGAAACTGTAGTCACAAGTCCATGGTACTAACCCTACAAAAATGGGCCAGCTCAAACTCAGGATGTGAATGAACAAAGCCAACCTTTTCCTTAGTTCAATTCCAACTGAGGACTCAGACTAACATCCCAATGAAAGTCAAGCTTCCCAACATCCTTTGGGCATCTTCTAAATAAATCCTAACTCTGTTTGACACCGGTACATCTTCCTTCCAGACACGGGCTCTTGACTTAACTGCAGACAATCAGCTTCATGTTCTGTGAGATCGGCTCGTCAGCACTCAAGTTCAAGGTGGGACGATGCACCCAAGTTCATGTGGGGGCACAGGCTTCCCACAGAAGCAGAGCAGAACAGGCAAAAGGGACGTTCACCGAGCTGCACTGGCCATGGTGGGTCCGTCACTGCAGAAACCTTATCAGCTTCCCAACAGCCACGGGATGCAGATGAGATCATAGTGCTCCGTGAACTCAGTTTTTAAAAAAATCAATGAAGAAACGGCAATATCGGAGCGCTTGCTTTCAATAACACCACCCCAGAAAACAAAAGCACTCTCCTATGCTCCTCTGTGGCATTCTATCTACAGTAGTCGACAGACTCAACACACTTTTAACAACTATTGGTACAACATTAAGTACAGGATTTTCAAAGCACAGAGTTTGGGGCCTGGAGAGCTGGCTCAGTGGTTATAGGTGCTCACTGCTCTTGTAGAGGAGCTAGCTTCAGTTTCTAGCACCCACATCAGGTAGCTTAAAACCTCCTCCTGTCACTCCCTTTCCAGGAGACCTGATGCCCTCCGGCCTCCGCAGGCATCTGGACACATGAAGCAGATAAACTCAGAGGCACACACAGGTACACAGAAGTAATAGATAAAGCTTTTAATAGTGGCTACATTTCAAATGATCAGCAGTAACTTCTGCTGTGTGCTCATGTCCTCAGTGAGGCATGGGAGCTCATTCGCTTCACTGTTTTCAGGAACTGCTGTTTTCCCCTTCATTTGTATTTAATTTAATTTTAGTGTTTAGGAAGCGTTTACTATTGTTGCAAAGCCAAAAGTACAAAGCACACTCAGGGGAATCCTACTTTTCCTCCTTAGCCACTTTTTCATACCTGTTTTGGTGACATTTTGGGTTTTCTACATTAATTGAAATGTAAATATACAAAGGTATCTGGCCATGTACCTCACTTAATGGCTGGGACTCTGAGGAATGCACTGTTAGGCCGAGGGGTTCCCAAAGGTTTAAAGGTGTTCAGAGTCCTAAGTGAACTCCATCTCTCCTCAGCACTGGCTCTTGGTTCTTTTCTCATAATTTTCAAAAAGAACTCTCTGTATTAGGGTTGCCCAGCTCTTTGTTATATGATTAAAAATTGAAAGTGTTTTCTTCAAGATTACTCACCTTTTTATTTTGCTATAGTGTTTCAGTCACACAAAACCACATTTTTAGGGCTGGCAAGATGGTTCAACATGTAGGGGTGCTTGCCACCAAGTAGAGGTGCTTGCCACCAAGCCTGAGAACCTGAATCCAAAATTACATGGTGGAAGGCAAGAACCAACTTTGGAAAAAGTCTTCTGACTTCCATATGTACTGTGGCACATGTGTGTTCAGACACACACAGGCACACACACACCATAACCATACACAAAATAAAGAAATATAAAAACAGATAAACGTGAGGAGAGGTTTTATGTGGAGGCGGGAGGAGATAGCTTTGTCAAGTACGAGTCTGTTTTGCAAAAATAAAGACTTAAAATTTGATCTCCAGCACCCATGTAAAAAGCCAAGATGATCCAAAAAGGCGGGCTTTTCATCCGGAAGTTGGGAGGCGCTCACTGGTCCCCAGGACCTTGTAAGAAATAAGTAAGGTGGACTCTGAGAGCTGGGGAAGAGAACGGCTGAGCTGTATCCTCAAGCCATTCCTTCCTTTAAACAAGCTAGTCTTCTTGTTTGTTTTAAGTTAAGCCACAGGAAAAGTATAGTGGTCTATTTACTGAGGGCATTACCTTATCACGCTAACTTTGGAAGAACTGGCCTTTGTAAGGTCCAGCTTTCCTAGCTAAACCCAGCATGTGTCTTCTCATTTGTAGGACAGATAATATACAGAGTAATGTCGATAGGGCTGATTCACAAGGAAGGAGAGACAGACAGTGTCCAGGAGCAGGGAAAGGAGGACGGACAATGGAGATGCTGGAGAGAGGCAGGCGCAGTCACCATGGGCATACAAAAACCACAGCCAGCTGATCATGGACTAGTCGCTCTCTTCGGCTTGTTATTTCCTTCCCCAAATAGGAAGCAAGGGTTAGCTGAGAGTGAGGAGCACAGAGAAGGTACTGGATGCCTGAGAGAAAAGAGGAATAGTGCCGAGGAAAGAACACGAAGGAGCCGGTTCCCTGAGAATCCCAGGAGCCATACTACACCAGGAGGAAACAGTCCTCACACTGAGCATTCGCGTCCTGAAACCGCGGGAGACACACTGCTGGGCCTGACCTCCTGCTGAAGGGGCCGTCTCAGGGCTACTGTGCCAGGTGAGCATCTGAAGGGCGCCCTTGCACTTGGTACCACCTGCAGCACTGGCACACTTACCACATCCTCGGAGATCACGTGTCTTTTCACAAATACCGATACATTCCTGTCAACAGTGTCCTGTAAGATCTTTATCACGTTTTCCAACATATTTGACCGGACATGGATTAAAATCTGGATAAAAGAACAGACAAGACTGAGCTGGCTTTTCAATGTGCACTGGCAGACACCCACTTTTTAATATTATTTCCTGATTCATTTGCTCAGGTCCGTTTTTCTGTTTGTCTTTTAAGTGCTTTGCATGTCTGCTCACTAGCAAAGGTGTACTTTCCTATAGCTGATGGCATTGCGGTAGCTGAGGCCAGTGAGGTCCTCAGAGAGCACACGTCTACACACACACACACACACACACACACACACACACACACACACACACACACTCACACGGTGCCTGGCTGAAATCTCACCCCTGGCAATCACTAGCTATGTGACTCCCACATGCAAACACTGCTTTTAACTTCCTCATCTGTTAGTGGAAAAATGGTCTCCAGGCCCCATTTTGTGTTACTGTGAAATTTAAGAGAAACACCAGCACACAGCAGGTACATAACAAAAACATTCATTCTCTCCACCCTCTTTCCTCCATAATTAAGGGCCGTGACAATCAAGCTGTCCCCTAAGTCTGGCTGGAGGAAGGCAGCACCTTTCACCTGTCAGTTACCTGCAGCACACAGGCTGAGCCAGGCGGAGTGGAAGCTGGCCCAGGTCTCAGGGGAGCCTCGCTATCTGCACAGTGCCCATTGAAGACCCTTCCACACTGGGTGCCAACCCAAGCTTTCCCAACGGCCCTGCTGACGGCTTCCCACCAGCCTGGCACACGTGGCACCCGGAAGAGCAAGGCTCACTTCACCTCTCATCCTCAGTACTCACAGGACAATTTGAGACACAGAGAAAAGGTTTTGAACAAATGAAAATAACTGAGAATTCACCAGCCAATGTTAATCACTGTTTATGATTTGATGTGTTACCTTCAAAATGTATTTTCCCTAAAATTAGATTTTTTCCTTTGCTAGTTACTAAATAATTTTGCTTAACACTAGAAATAATTGGTCTAAGACTGCATATTGAATAAATGTATAGCAATTAGCCATGCCATATATATTGTTTATATTGATTGATGTATATACATTAAAATGAAAAACCCAGTAATTTTTTAAACTTGAAAAAAAAAGGGATGGAGCCAAAAGGGATAAACACTTGTAAAGCCGGATCCCCACGAAAGGCAGGGTTTCTGTCCACACAGAGCTGGCCGTATCGGGCCACCCACCCTTTGTAACGTCTGTTTGCTGGAGCACTGGGGTTTTTACCGTCAGAACAAAACCGACGCAGGCTATCCAGGAAGGGAAGAAGACCACTAACTCACAGTTCTGGAGGTGCAGGCCGCAGAGCCGACCTGAGCTCAGCCACGGAAGGCGCTCACCTGAGTCATACCATGGCAGATGTGGAAGCGGGGATCGTATCTCAAAGAGGAAACCGGAGAGCAGATGGTGGGGCCTGGCTAGGCTTCTAGAACATTCTTACAACGGCCATCGTCCCTCCTGAGAGCACACCCCCAGTGACTTAGCAGGACTACCCTCTAGGTACCTCCTTTTTTCTTCCAACTTCAAAAATGTATTTTTAAAACAATTTCCTACGTGTATATAATGAATTCTGACCACACCCAGCCTTCCATTTCCTTCTCTTCTCCCCATGCCACCCTCTCTGGAATACTTCCTCTTCCCAACATGCCCTCCTACTTTCGTGTCCTTTTAAAAAATACCCCCGAGTTTAATTAGGGTTGTACATGCATGGGTTATTAACTAGATCACAGGTAGTTCACAGTAGCTACACCCCTGAAAAACAAAAACAAACAAACAAAAAAAAAAACGACTCTGCATCCTCCAGACACCAATAATTGCCAATCACTCCTCCCATAAGAATGGAGCCTCATGGAGACACTGTCTCTTAAAGGTCTCCTGCCTCGTTCTCAACATGCTAAGGGTCAAGCCTCCAACAGATGGACTCCTGAGAGACAAACAAAATCTGAGGGCAAGCAGCTCATCAGAGAAGAGGTTATCTTTGGTCTTCTTCAGAACAGAATGAAGCACTGCTCAGCCTGAGCTGGAACTTGAGAGCAGTTAGACACTCACTAGTCTTCACCAACACAGGAGAGCAGTGGGCACACTAACCACTGTCCACACCTCAAACACCTCTGTGAGGTGAATTCTGTTCCACATGAGTCTCTAAAGGCCGCCAGATTCCTAGAGAAATGGTAAGAATCCAAATGTGATCACCAAGCGGCCCCGCACTGGCCTCTGGGAGTGGAAACTCACTCTGTGATGCTGACTAAGACCGCCAAAGAGGGCTCTTTTGTGGTTCTTTTGAGGCTGACGGGCTGGAGTCAGCATGCACGTGTCTTAATGAGGTCACAGACTAAATGAATGCAGGATGTGGCAAGTGTTAGCTGGGACAATAAGAAACCAATTCCCCTGGGTCATACAGGCAGCAGAAGCAATTCAGATAAAAAGAAAATTAAATTTGGGGAGGATTAGGTCAGTTCAAATTCTAATGCACAGCAGCAAAAGAGTTTAATGTAAGACATTGATTTTTAAAATAGACCAAGAAAAAGAAAACTTTCATCTACTTTTACTAATATTGACTCAACAGACTCTCACTGTCAGGCCACTTGTTAGGTTAACAAATTGTTAAGGATTCCAAGTAGATGACCACCTTGGAAAAGCTGAAGCCTATTACATCATTTAAAGAGTATAGGCAGCAGAAGACCTGGATGTGAAAGCCTACTCAATGAATGCACTGTCTCTTTCTTGTCATCCTAGAGGACGAAGAAACAGGTTTATAATGCAACAGAGGGGTTTAGATTGGACATCGGGAAGTTTCCCAAGTGGGAATTTTTAAAGAATAAGACTGTTTTATTAAAGTTTCCCAATAGTGGGTAATTCCTTGACCGCATTCACGAAGAGAATCAAATTTAACATTGATTCAAGGTTCCTTACGTGTGGTCCTTAACCACAACACGCTGATCCTACCCGTGTGCTGGCTGGCTTTCCTCCCACATCAGAGAACAGAAGCTGCCTTGCAGTGAGTGCATGAGCCCCAGGCCCCAGCCACAGGGCGTGGATACACTTCTGCCCCCTCTCAACAGGCTCAAGGTACATCCCCACCAAAACATCTTCTCCTTTGGAAAAAGAAATTACTGCATTTCTGTACCAACTGTGAGAGACAGGTATGAGGAGAACTCTAAACCCAGAGAATGGGTCCCCTGCACTGGCAGTGAGCGGGCTGTGCTTGTCCGGCCTGTGATCTTCCTGGGACTGTTCAGGAGTAGAGAGTCCCAGGTCTGGATGGCAGGCATGGCCTTCCTTCCTATCTTCATGCGTCTCATCTCCCTGGAGAGGTGGGAAACCCGGCTTTGTAGTGTGCCATCTATGTTAAAACCCTGTTGTCCACTGAACTGTGAGACCTTGGCAATTTATTTGCCCTGGATTATCCCTTTCCACATCTGCATCACAGAGTAACACGTCCCAACAGGACTCTACAAAACCAACAAATCACGAAGCATCTAGCCTGGTGCCTTAGCTAAAATCAAATGAAAATCTGCCTATCTAAGCCTCTTCAGCCTCCCACCACTAACGTCATCTCCAGGGAAAGCTACAGTAACTCACATACTCCATCTCTCCCCACATGCTCATGCCTAGTTTTCCTTCCTAATACCACAGCCACTGGTGGGAGATTCATTCCTAGTCCCAGCAACTCTCCCATCCCTCCAGGAAACAAGCACATCTGAAGTCACTCTCTAGGAGGCAGTTTTGCACCTGGACACAAGAGTTGTCCAGATCTAATGGGAAGCAAGACGACAACGACGAAGGTAATAGCTGTCCTTTTGTTGTGACGATTGAAAGAAAGAATGGATATGAAGCAGTTAGCCCGGGGCAGGAAGCAGTCAGTGTTCAAAACCGGCAGTGACTGTTTGACATGAGGTAAGTTAATAACAGGAATCTTTCTGTAACAGGTCCTAGAGTAGGATCTAAGCAGAGCTCCAAGCTTCTGAGGAAACACAGTAATACTTACAGGTAATAACTTTCAGAATCACCCTCAGATGCCACCCTGTACTGGTGCCCATAGGTAAGCTAGGTAAGTTTTCAAGGTATGCTTAGAAAACTGAGGTCAGGCACAAAGCCTAAAGAATCCCGTGGATTGGACCCAAGGACTCGGAGCTAGTAGGAAGTGGCGATAGTCAGCAGTGTATTGTTTCCATGGAAAGCCTCACCAAAATCGATCTGTTAGCTGGGCGGGATGGCGCATGCCTTTAATCCCAGCACTCGGGAGGCAGAGCCAGGTGGATCTCTGTGAGTTCGAGGCCAGCCTGGTCTACAGAGCGAGTTCCAGGAAAGGCGCAAAGCTACACAGAGAAACCCTGTCTCGAAAAAAAACAAAAAAGTGATCTGTGGGAAAGCATTGTCCTTTCACCTGCGTCCCTCCGACCCCACAGCCCTATCCTCCAGAACGCCGCCCCACAGCTGACCTGTGCCCCACAGCCCTGTCCTCTAGAACGTCATCCCACAGAAACAAATTAAGGGAGGAGGGCCTGGAGGTGGACCAGGCCTGGCTGGCTGCAGAGGCTGGGGCAGAAGCTCTTCCATCTGGCTGGGTCTGGGTGAGCTCAGGCTGGAACCAGAGCAGAAAGCACCTTCAAAGTGCACCCCTACAGACTCTCCTACTACGGAGGCCGCAGTCCCAAAGGGCCCACAGCCCCCATCACAGCATCGCAGCTGGGAAGCAACCACAGAAGCCAGCGGGAAAGCCTCGGTCCAAACTCATCAGGTCTCCTTCACTCTCCTTAGTGGCTCTGAGCCCAGCTCTGTCCTTCCTTCAGTCCCATCTCAGGACACCCACAGCACGTTGTGACCTAGTTCACGTCACACTGGTGCTGACATATTTCCAGTCCAAAAAGAGTTCTTCAGCGTAACCCCTGGATCATTTTAGAAGACAAGACATTGAGAGGTGGGAATCTGAAGGGCTCCAGAGATGGCTCAGTGGTTCACAGCACTTTTGGTTCTTGCACAGGATCCAGGTTTCTTCCTAGTACTCACAGGGTAGCTCACAACCACCCACAA